ATAATTTGTGATCTGAGGCATCTTATGCATTTAAAAAAATAATAATCTGGTTGGAACATGGCTTGACTGTAGACTCCTGGGATAAAAATAAGTTGATTTTAGCCAACTTACCTATATCCAAAATCGTTTCGTTGAGTTGGTGCAAGGCGTTAAAGTTCTCACCTTAGGCACAGTTTAAGGAATGAATAGTTATCACAAAATTTGTAACTCGAGAGTTCTTGTAAAGCCCGCGAGGACCAGCAACATATCAGTTTGTTCACAATAAGAATACACAGTAGCCATGATCAATAAACAGTCTGACTAATTAGATTAATTTTCAAAAATGCGCAGGATGCTTGAAAATTGATGATTTAGAACGATTAGTAAATGCATGCAAATTTGATTATTGTTGAAATTTGAAAAAACTGATAACTCGGAAAAAAATTGCATTCTCTAGTCTCGTGTCTCATGTGACGAAGAGGGGGTATTTTTGAACAATTATTCAACGTATGCTTTCGGTCTTACTTGTATCACATGTGCTGTGGTAATTTTTGAAAAATGCACTTTTATTGTGATGACAAAATCTATCAGAAAATCATAGGTACCTATGAAATTGATGAATTCCTATTAACTATCACAGAGAAGACAAATTTTTGATAGCAGCCATTTAGGATATACAAACAGAGAATAATTTATTATGAAAATGATAATTTTAACATGGATAAACGCTCCTCCGTATTAGCTTTGAATATGAAATGAATAGGAATTGATTTATTTTTTGTAAACGTTCGAATATTTCGAAAACTGCAAGGTTTTTACTGAGCCAAGTTGTGGTATTCTGGTAAGTTATGAACTTGTTTATCACCAACAGTTTGTTCTTTGGTTTACCGGACATCCTGTATATGTATTTACGATTTATGAGAGTACCTTTATACACGCCACTACGTCAAATTGAATTTCGCACAGAAGCTCCCCATTAATGCTCACATCGAAGGATATTTTCAATATTCTATTCTATTGTAGGTGTCCTTGACTTTTGACATTAAAGAATATAGGCTTCGCTCTGTATAATAAAATCAAGTCCAGTGTTGCCAATCGTAGCGGGATTTACCCACAAGAGCGGCGTAGGGGTGGCGGGGCAAAATGACAGCAATACGTAGCGGATTTTAATTTCAAATCTCTCAGAGGTGTGTATGTGGTCAAAATTCTGAAACAGATTTTCTCATCATCATAAGTATTATGAGCTCTGTCGTAAGGCCAGCGAAATCTATTTACCAGTTTGAGCTTTATTTTTGATTTTGATTTGATTTGTCGGGGACTCCTCAAATCATTTGAATAATTATTACAAAACAAATCAACGTCTAGGTGTCCTATGTTGTACTAGATACATACAGAGTGAGCCATTGAAAACGAAACAGCGGCTCTGTAGGTCGGCAAAACCGGATTATGAAAAAAATCTGAAACACGTCAACTACGTTTTCGAGGGGGCATCGTTCTAAAATATTTTCAGCCCTGCGGCGTTGCCGCTTCTAACGAAAAAAAGCAACAACTTTGTTATTTCAAATGGAAAACCTTGTATTTCATTGCATTTTTAGATTCTCCCCAAAGAGCTGATTTCATCAATGCATCACACTTGGGGTTTAGCTGGAATGATTTCAGGGATATAGGATGTTCAAAATCGAGATTTTTCAACTTTAGGACTTTTTTGTGTCGAAACTATTCATTATTGGTCAAAACGGATTTTATGTCCACGTCTCAACTTTTGATTTACTATCTACTGACATTCATTTGAAACAAATACAGGATGGTTCAAGATTCAGACTTGTGATCAATACATGTAAAATGGGCTCATTTTTAAAAGGGAATATCATTTGAACGTAAGACTTAAACGTCTCAACTTTTGAGATACAGAGTGGTAAATTTCTCAAAAATAAATAGTTTTTCATTGATATCTGAAATACCACTTGATTTTATCTCTTCAATTGTTTCAGTCCGAATCACGGTTTTCACCTAAGAAAATATATTGTGATATTGTCATATTATTAACGAAATCGAAATCAACAGTTTCATCATTAACGATATACAGAGTGGGCCTTTGAAAACGAAACAGAGGCTCTGTAGGTCGCCAAAACCGGATTATGAAAAGAATCTGAAACACATCAACTACGTTTTCGAGGGGGACATCGTCCTACAATATTTTCAGCCCTGCGGCGTTGCCGCTGCTAACGAAAAGAAGCAACAACTTTGTTATTTCAAATAGAACACCTTGTATTTCATTGCATTTTTAGATTCTCCCCGAAGAGCTGATTTCATCAATGCATGACACTTGGGGTCTAGCTGTAATGGTTTCAGGGATATAAAGTGTTCAAAATCGAGATTTTTCAACTTTGACATTTTTTTGTGTCGAAACTATTCATTATTGGTCGAAACGGCTCTCATGTCCCTATATCAACTTGTGATTTACTATCTACTGACATTCAATTGGAAAAGATACAGGGTGATCAGAATTCTGAATCTTGAACCACCCTGTATTTGTTTCAAATAAATGTCAGTAGATAGTAAATCACAAGTTGAGATCGGGACATGAGAGCCGTTTTGACCAATAATGAATAGTTTCGACACAAAAAAATGTTTAAGTTGAAAAATCTCGATTTTGAACACTTTATATCCCTGAAACCATTACAGCTAGACCCTAAGTGTGATGCATTGATGAAATCAGCTCTTCGGGGAGAATCTAAAAATGCAATAAAATACAAGGTGTTCCATTTGAAATAACAAAGTTGTTGCTTCTTTTCTTCAGAAGCGGCAACGCCGCAGGGCTGAAAATATTTTAGAAAGATGTCCCCCTCGAAAATGTAATTGACCTGTTTCAGTTTTTTTTGATAATCCGGTTTGGCGACCTACAGAACCTCTGTTTCGTTTTCAAAGGCCCACTCTGTATTTATATAACTTTTTGGATAATATTTATACAGGGTGGCATTTGAATAAGTGAAAATATTTCAGACACTGAGAAAGCTCGGCATGTACTATCGAATGGCACTAATAAACAAATTTAGAAATCAAAATAATTGGGATGAAATTTCTCGTTAATTGAAAGAATTAGAAAAAATGTGATATCATGGGAATATTCCTTAGACTGTATCATATATTAATGTGCTGAATATGTGCACTTATTTCAAAAACACCTTATACAGGGTGTCCGCTAAAAGGAGGTCAATCCATTAGCCACATATTCCTTGAACAAGAACAATATGAATTTCTAAATACCATTTTTCATTTTAGCCCTTCATATTTGATATACAGGGTGTCAACGTTGGAAATTAAAAACTGTTTTTTTTTTAATTACTTGCGTATTTGATAAGATAATTATCTCAAAATTGGTACATTACTTCAGCACAAAGAGTTACATCGTGTGAGGAAAACGGAACAGAAAATAACTGTCAAATATTCAAAATACTGGGGGTCAAGTACACACTTACCGCCATATTTTTTTTGTACGTGCGCTGATGACTTCCTATCTATCTTTCTTCAAGTGTTCAATCATTTTTGAGTATTTTTTGTTTCTTGTAAAATTTCGATAAAATTATTTGTTTTTAAGATAATTCGAAAAGAACTGGTTGTTGTTTGATGTCTATGCGGTTTGCGTTAATCTCATAATGTTCACATACTCCTATTTATTTCGTCGAAATTGGAAGAGGGCGTAACATTTTACGTACGAAAAGGTAAATATGGAAATACCGGGTGCTCAGAGCGAATGTATTAAAATAATTTTTACAGTACAGTATACAGGGTGGCCCACGGTCGATGGTACCTTAGACGTAAAACGGTACATTGGATTATCCTGAAAATTTGGTTACTCTAATAAGCGTTTGTGATCTAACGATTCAAAATATTTTCAGCGAAGCAGCGTTGCCACTTTTACCAAAAAGTAGCATCATCTTTGTTATTTCAAATGGAACACCCTCTATTTTATTGCGTTTTTAGATTCTTATCGAAGAGCTGATTTCATCAATGCATCACACTTGGGGTCTAGCAGGAATTATTACAGAGATATAGGGTGTTCAAAATCGAGATTTTTCAACTTTAGGATTTTTTTGTGTCGAAACTATTCATCATTGGTCAAAACGGCTTACATGTCCCTATATCAACTTTTGATTAACTATCTATCGACATTTAATTGGAAAAAATACAGGATGGTCCAAGATTCAGAATTTTGATCACCCTGTATCTGTTCCAATTAAATGTCAGTAGATAGTGAATCAAAAGTTAAGATAGGGACATGTAGGCCGTTTTGATCGATAATGAATAGTTTCGACACAAAAAAAATCCTGAAATTGAAAAATCTCGATTTTGAACACCCTATATTGTTCTAAAAATTGTTGTTGTTGTATCTCTGTAATAATTCCTGCTAGACCCCAAGTGTGATACATTGATGAAATCAGCTCTTCGAGAAGAATCTAAAAACGCAATGAAATACAGGGTGTTCCATTTGAAATAACAAAGATGATGCTACTTTTTGGTAAAAGTGGCAACGCTGCATCGCTGAAAATATTTTGAATCGTTAGATCACAAACGCTTATTAGAGTAAGCAAATTTTCAGGATAATCCAATGTACCGTTTTCCGTATACGTCTAGGTACCATCGACCGTGGGCCACCCTGTATAAAAAGGTATGTCAATGGTTAATATATACATGCAGCAAACATATCTGGATCTGTTGATGAATAGTTAAGGATTTCATTCAACTTTGTTGTTTATTGTTGAAAATTTTTTTTTGTTTATCAAAAAAATCGAATGCCAATCGGTATCCAAATTGTAAATCCAAAATAGACTGTTGAGTATCGTAAATATAAAAGACACGACCGTGGCGGGGCGTACCGGAATTTTTATAGTGACGTAGCGACATTCGTACTTTTATAGTTGGCAACACTGATCAAGTCACAAGCGCCTCCGGCCAAAATCAATCAGATCCTGAATCGAGGCGCTTCAGATAGAAATTCTACAAAAAGCAAATCGACTTACACCAAGTTGTGTCTCATTTTCTGCTGGAACGTCGACCGCTCTCTCACACCAACACCTATTCGGATTCACTGGATTCTGCAATCTGCCGTACCCATATTTATAAATTCTCTCGCGAATCGCCCCTTCACTTGCAGCAGGCCTTGTCCGTGGAAAGCCTCTGGCGACGAGAAGAAGACGGCTGTCCTTTCGGCTGGGCCGCTTTAGTGGGTTCGGGGGGCTTGCGACAAGTGGATTTTTCGAATTTTTGTGCCCCCCTCCCCCTGGTCTCTGTCGTTACACAAAGACAAGGTATTTCTAAAGTGCCTCGAATATATCTCATTTCACGCCCTTTAAAGAGTGCGGGCACGCTTGTCATGTTGTTAAACAGCTGAACAAGAACATCCCAGATGGCACAAGTACATCTTATCTATCATGGATATTGTGGATGTCCATAAGATATCCGAAAAATGCTCTGGTATATCCAATGGACGGCCATAGGATGTGACAGTGTGACCTTTTTGGATGTCTTAAAGATATTCATTATGGATATCCATAAGATGTCAACTATGGATATGGATATGAGATACTATACCCCATATATAGAAAAAAATCACAAAATTGTGAAGCACACACGTCTCACTGCCTTCGAATAATGTAGTTGTCAGTTCTTATGCATCATCAATTTTGGACGAATTCGTAGGAATCACTTCCAGATTCACTTCAAATTAATTGAATATGAGAACAGATTGACATTATTTGACTATTCCAAGGTTTGGTAGAATCGATGATCTATAAATAATCATCAATTCTACCAATCTTGGACTATTTGAGACGTTACGCCACCTCGCGCTGTTTTTGAAAACCGAATTAATAATAATAGCAGATAGTGCATCACAATGTGTGCTATCGCACAAGTGTTACTTTTATTTATCGTTTCATTCATTGTATACAGGCTGATTCACGGTGGATGACACATTAGACGTTTCTGGTGAACCAGACAACGGATCATTTTGAAAATTTAATGGAGGGCATATTCGGACATTCTCTAGCCAACTAAAATATTTTCGACAATGCGGTGTTGCCGCTTCTATTAGAAAGCAGTAGCAACTTTGATTTTTCAAATGGAACACTCTGTATTTTATTGCAATGTTAGATTCTCCCTGAAGAGCAGATTTCATCGATGTATCACACTTGGGGTCTAGCGGAAATGATTACAGAGATATAGGGTGTGAAAAATCGACATTTTTCAACTTTAGGAATTTTTTTTGTCGAAACTATTCATTATTGGTCAAAACGGCTCACATGTCCCTATCTCAACTTTTGATCAACTATCTACTAACATTTAATTGAAACAAATACAGGGTGGTGCAGAATTCAGAATCTTGATCACCCGGTATATGTCCCAATTGAATATCAGTAGATAGTTAATCAAAAGTTGAGATAGGGACATGTGAGCCGTTTTGACCAATGATGAATAGTTTCGACACAAAAAAATCCTAAAGTTGAAAAATGTCGATTTTTCACACCCTATATCTCTGTAATCATTTCCGCTAGACCCCAAGTGTGATACATCGATGGAATCAGCTCTTCAGGGAGAATCTAAAAATGCAATAAAATACAGAGTGTTCTATTTGAAAAATCAAAGTTGCTACTGCTTTCTAATAGAAGCGGCAACACCGCATTGTCGAAAATATTTTAGTTGGCTAGAGAATGTCCGAATATGCCCTCCATTGAATTTTCAAAATTATCCGTTGTCTGGTTCACCAGAAACGTCTAATGTGCCATCCACCGTGAATCAGCCTGTATGTATATACTTGATTTGAAATTTCTAAGTATCGATCTTTTGTCTCTGTATCTTATGGATATCCTATGGACGTATTCGATCCGGACGTTTTGTTTCGGATATCTCAAGTACATCCGCAATCGGATATCTTATGGATATACATTTTATGTCCATGGATATCCTGCCTTGAATAGGACTTGAAATGGATATCCATAAGATTTCCTGTGTTAACTGGGATGAGACACGAATATGTTTAATTACTAAAAGATGTACAAAGCTATCTCCACGAGATTCAATGTGATTAACACATCATAGATTGGTACATGTTTCGGACATATACAGGGTGTCCTTAAAAGGTCTTTACAAAAACCTACCACATATTCTTCAGACCAAAACAATTCGATACAAGCAAACTTACCTCAGTAAAAAGTTGCTTAGTTTGGGCGCTAGACAGCTCTGAAGTTAGAATTTTCAAATCGATTTTGCTTCATAACTTTTGAACGGCTCATGAGATTTTTTTCAAATTTGGTACGTTGGCATAGACTCATCGGGCAATGAAACTCATATCATAATCATAATGAATATCATTCCATGGGCGTAGAACTTGATTTTTTCAGGAAATAAACATCTAAAACTCCTACGCCAATGAAAAAAAAAAATAGTTCCAATATGAAATCTAAATTATTCAACTCATTCACTACAAAAAAGGTACTCTTGACAAAAGTCGATTCCTCTCATGGTTTCGACAAAATTTCAATTTTAGTGATTTACAGCATAATTAATAATAAAACGATTAACAGATATTTCATAAAAATTGTTCAAAATGTTCACCATTTTCACGTATACAAAGATTTATACGACGCAAAAAGTTGAAATGTACTCTTTGCATAACTTCTTCATCGCCTGTAAGATTATTCGTCGCCTGTTGGATACGTTGCCATAATTGTTCTACAGTATTCACAGGGGTCTTGTAAACCGTAGACTTGAGATAACCCCATACAAAATAATCCATCGGTGTTAAGTCTGGAGAACGTGGTGGCCAATTCACGGGTGCATCATTACCTCTACCTATCCATCTGTCTGGGTACTGTTGGTTTAAAAAATTCCTAACATCCACCGAAAAATGTGGTGGAGCTCCATCGTGCATAAACCACATATCTACCCGATGTTGGAGTGGTAAATCTTCCAACAAATTTGGCAACGTATTTCGTAGATGTTGTAAATACATGTCTCCTGTTAATCTTTGTGGAAGTATGACAGGACCAATTATAAAATTTCCTATTATTCCAGCCCAAACGTTGATTTTGAATTCGTGTTGAAAATGGTTTATTTTAATGGAATGAGGATTTTCAATTGCATAAACGTGTTCATTATGAAAATTAGTTATTCCTCTTCTCGTGAAACAGGCTTCATCAGTGAACAAAATATTCTTTCCAAAGTTCAGATTCATTTCTCTTTGCAAATTAATGAACCTACAAAACATCAGACGACTTTGTGAATCATGGATTAATAAATCTTGAACTGGCGTCTTGTGGTATGGGTATAATAATTTGTTCTCTTAGTACTTCATGAACGGCACTCCTAGAAACTTCTAGTTCATTACTTATCCGTCTAGTACTCAATTCTGGATTTTCTTCAATACGGTCTAAAATTTCTACTTCGACTTCGGGAATCCTTACATAACGCTGTCTTCCATAATCACCAGTTCTAGGAGCAAAATGACCGGTCTCCCGAAGACGTCTCTCAACTGCAGCAAAGGTTGGGTGGCTTGGTACGCGACGATTTGGAAACCTTGCCGAATACACCCTCACACTCTCTCGACCATTTCCTTGACAATATCCGAATACCAATAACATATCGGTGTATTCTTCATTGGTGTATTGTACGGCCATGATAAATCAGAAAAGTCCGATATCAACAATCAACGTCAATAAAACTCTACAAATCAACACAGATGAAACTATGGAAACCAAGAATGTGAATATCACTGTTTTCGAGCAGATAATAATAGTCTTCAGAAAAAAAAACCAGTGCTACTTATTTTCAATAGAAATAACCTATGCAAAAAGTACATCTCAACTTTTTGCGTTGTATAAATCTTTGTATACGTGAAAATGGTGAACATTTTGAACAATTTTTATGAAATATCTGTTAATCGTTTTATTATTGATTATGCTCTTAATCACTGAAATTAAAATTTTGTCGAAACCATTCGACCATTTGTCAAGAGTACCTTTTTTGTAGTGAATGAGTTGAACAATCTAGATTTCATATTGAAACTAACTCTTTCCATTGGCGTAGGAGTTTTAGATGTTTATTTACTGAAAAAAGCAAGTTCTACGCCCATGGAATGATATTCATTATGATTAGGATTTCAACTTTTTGCGTCGTATAAATCTTTGTTCACGCGAAAATAGTGAACATTTTGGAAAACTTTCATGCAATATCTATCAATCGTTTTATTATTTAAATATGCGCGAAATCACTAAAACTTAAATATTGTCGAAACCATCAGAGTAATCGAATTTTATCAAGAGTACCTTTTTTGTAGTGAATGATTTGGGCTATCTAGATGTCATACTGAAACTGATTTTTTTTCATTGGCGTAAAAGTTTTAGATGTTTATTTCCTGAAAAAATCAAGTTCTACGCCCATGGAATGATATTCATTATGATTATGATATGAGTTTCATTGCCCGATGAGTCTATGCATACGTACCAAATTTGAAAAAAATCTCATGAGCCGTTCCAAAGTTATGAAGCAAAATCGATTTGAAAATTTCAACTTCAGAGCCGTGTAGCGCCCAAACTAAGCAACTTTTTACTGAGGTAAGTTTGCTTGTATCGAATTGTTTTGGTCTGAAGAATATGTGGTTGCTTTTTGTAAAGACCTTTTAAGGACACCCTGTATATGTCCATCATCAACCTTAAATCAGAAATTACATAATAGACCAGTGCTGAAGCCTTTGGAAACGGTAAAATATGAAGAAAAATCATGGTAGGATGAAACCCATTGGAAAAGAAAGAGAATATAATGAGATGAAAGGGAAAATAATTTACGGGCGATCTTATTAGGTCGGGAAGTGGTAGGGGGTGAGTTTTCAAGGGTAAGAAACGGTTTATCTTGATTTCCAGCAAAACTACGAGCCCTATGGAAAAAAGTTGAAAAGCAAAGTTGTAGGTAATAAAGAGACCTACAACTTTTGTGATCACACTTTTTTCACATAACCTCAAAATTTATATTTGAAATATAGTATATTCAGAGCCACCTTGATGAGCTCGACCCACCGTCTTCAATAATGATGATTCGCTGCTCTTTCAAGAACTAATACCGGAAAATATGTAACCCATTATTTTGTGAATATGATTAGAGAGAATGGAAAAATGACTATGAACAAACTAATTAAATAATAGTCGAAAAACTTCTGCAGTCGCTACATTTAACCATATTATATAGTCACTGTAGTAACTTCTTGTTCTACCTGTCGTTAATTGAAGGATTTGGAACTGCATTAGCTTTCAAATTTCTGGCTTTTTGTATTTTAATTCAATTGTTGTTGCTTCGGCGGAATTTGAAGAATGTGTCATCAGAACGAATCGAGCACACTGTGCTATAATATAACATGATATGCAAGTAAATATGAATACATAATTCCAATATTGAATAGTCTTTTTCTACAAAGTCAATTGGAGCTGCTAGCTCTATTCGATTGTATTTTGTGTAGTATAACTTGCAAGAAAGGTGGATCTTGCAAGGCAAGACGTATGGCTTCTAGCTGTCATTTGTCACTGTTGATGTGTAGTGACAGTGGACTAGTGACAACTGACGAGAATGACAAGTGACAGTTCTGCTGTATACAAAAAAAGAAACGATAGGGTAATCGGGTTCTGTCTATCACACTATTATTTGTTTACCAGAGACAAAAAATGATATTGTCCAAGATTCAGAGAAGCAAACAATGGAATGCTAGTGTCTTTCTCCAGAAGTTGTAAATCATATACCTACCAACAGAAAAAATGCAGATATGTGGAGAAGTAGATCCGTTAATACATTCTTGAATATTTGCATAGTAACTGGGTTCATCCTACTAGTTTACTATGCATTTTTGACTCAAGACAGTATAAATCATCGAAAACACCTGAGAAGGATTGTTAGGAAAGATACTCAGAACATTGGGGTATTGACTTCTTTCCCAAGAAAAACTAAAGAGTACAATATTTGGCTAGTTTTTACAAAAGTAACCAATGTGTCTACCCTCAGCTACAAATTTAGAGATCTGATACACAACCTTCTCAATGTGAGCTCTGTTCCTCTCAAATTCAACATCATTGTGGACAAGGTATCACAAGGTATTGCTGAGAATCAGATTGCTGATGTCCTTTATGGAAATAAGACTATTGTATATTCTTTCTATGACATTGAAGAGAGTGCAAAGAAGATTCAGGATATTGTTGAGGTGATGACCCCACATTTCAGTTCAAAACCAGGTAATTAACTGAATAAGTATACATTCATGAATTCACATTTATCATGTTGATATTTTTATACAACTAACATATTTTCAGGTACTTATTATAGTGATGCTCTCTTCTACATATCTCTGGGACTGTACAGAATTGCACCACAGAATCAGGATTTTGCTATTTTATTGGATTGTGATTTGTATTTTAAGAAAGATATTGCCCTATTATTCAATCAGTTCAGCAAGTAAGTGGGTATTTATTTGTAGTGTTTGGGCTTTGGGCTCTTGAGACTTGAATTTTTTCATAGTGATGTTGTTCAGAATGTTTGAGACTAATTTCACTAAAATTCTGAAATTAAACACTAAGAATGTGGCTAGTTCTGAAAATTTGATAAGTATATTTTGCCAGATCAAACAATATTGTTTGAGAAAGAAATATTTTAAGGCTTCAATGCATTTGAATATCAGATTTTTCAGGGTTGTTATATTAATACAATTGCCAAAAACATCTCCATTAACAAATTTCAATGTTTTTTCATGAAATATATGTTTTTAGTTTCAAACCTTCTGCTTTGTTTGGCTTGGCCCCAGAACTGACCCCTGTGTATCGCCATATTTTGCATATGTACAAAGCCAAGCACAACACTACCTTTGGGGATTTCTATCATGACAGTAACATATTGTCCAAGAGTATCCATCCAAGGGGATTTCAAGGTTACAACTCGGGGGTTGTACTGATCAACTTGAGGGCTCAAAGGAATTCCACTGAATTTCTAGAGATCATTTCAAATTCAACTGTTCAAAGAATGACTGCAAAATACAGGTATGTTCCATGTTTCTCATCTCTATTGTTTTATCATTCAACACATTATGACTACAATATTTTCTTACATTGTTGTTCCTAACCTTTATTTAGCATTTTTGATGTTTGGCCTGTAAGTTAAACAAATCAGGAAGAAAAAAACATATATTTTACAGAACACAAATTGTTGAATTATTGTGTAAATGTGTTCTTTGTTCTGGTTTTTTAAACTGCCTATTTGAGTATTTCATATTGTCTATCAGAAAATCAGTAGTCCCATCAGGTTTTATGATAACTCAAACTGTTTGGTAAACTTGACAACAGTGGACAATATTAAGAAAGAATGATAAGAACCTAACCTGGATTAAAAAATCTAATGTCATGCATCTTCACTTCTGAACCACATGATATTATGTACTTGTGTATTTGTCAAGGAAACATGTTTTTTATTCAAAGTAATTTGACATTTTGAGAAGTAACCTAACTATTTTCCTTTGAATATATGTAAAATTTCATAATTTTTGAAAGCAAAAGAAGGTTCATAAACCCCAAACTGAACGATGGTAAACTTGACAACAGTGGACAATATTAAGAAAGAATGATAAGATCCTAACCTGGCTAAAAAATCTAATGTCATACATCTTCACTTCTGAACCACATATTATGTACTTGTGTATTTGTCAAGGAAACAGGTTTTTTATTTAAATTAATTCAACATTTTGAGAAGTAACCTAACCATTTTCCTTTGGATATATGTAAAATTTCATAATTTTTGAAAGCAAAAGAATGCTTATAAACTCCAAACTGAATGATGCAAATTAGTCTCACATAATGCTGATTCCAGTTAGAGGAAGGTAGTTTCATGGTTTTCTAAACTGCTCAACACATTGAACATAAAATCACATTTTTTTCATCAAATTTGAATCATCATAACTTTCGATTTCCTCATCCAATTATTTTTCATTTTATGAAAGCTCGTTTAATTTACTATCGAAACTATGGATATGACTATTTCATCTTTTCCAGATGAGATTCTACAGGATGATAATCAAAGCTGTGCATTTTTACAAAAATTTCAAACGCCTTCCGTTTGAAAGACATTTTTTTCTATTTTTTTTGGGGATCGAAAACATATTGCTTCATATGTTTTCTCGATACTGTTAAGGAGGGGTTTACCCTCTGAAAAAGGTCAAACTAAATCTAAGGTGTAAAGGGGGAAGTAAAAATCCTGTCCGAAGGAGGCGGAGCCCGATAACGAAGGAAGTCGTCTAATGACTCTAATGTCTCACTCCAACTCATTCTAGCGTAAAATATTTCAACATTTATAGTAAAAGCGGCCTTGAGTGTTACCCCTTGAGGCTTCTGCGGTCGTCTGAATTCTCCGAATAAGTCTCACAGGCACAGCTTACAAGTTGTGCTTTAGGCAATATACATCAGTATTCCGTGAAATTATGCATAGGCCGAAATGGAATATGAGTATGGAGTAATAAAATTGAAATTGTTTTCAACATTATGATGGATATTTCGCATGATGATAATATTAGGCCGGATGCTAGTATAGGTACATACCCAGTGTTCATTTGAAAATTTTCCAACCGCCATGAGTAGAGTAGAGTAGAGTAGTTTATTTGACCATGTTATGTAAATTACATGTACGGCAAGTCATAATTACAATAGCCATAGTGCTTGAAAATAAAGATAATCTTCACCCTCAATCACTAAAGTGCAGAAATAGATGAATTATATTACAAGAATACATGATTAAAAAACATGATAAGTATATTAAAGATGGAACATCAAATGATCTGTATAAAATATTGCGATTTTTGCAATTTTCAGAAATTTTTCTAATTTTCAGGAATTATTGCATTTTAACTATCTCTGCAATTTTCAGGAATTCTTGCGATTTTTGCAATGTTCAGTGATTTTCGCTATTTTCAGGAATTATAGCAATTTTTGCAATTTTCAGGAATTTTTGCAATTTTTACAATTTTCAGGAATTTTTCCAATCTTCAGGAATTTTTGCAATTTTTGCAATTTTCAGGAATTTTTGCAATTTTTACAATTTTCAGAAATTTTTGCACTTCCCAGGAATTTTTTCAATTTTTGCAATTTTCAGGAGTTTTTGCAATTTTCAGAAATTTTTCTTATTTTCAGGATTTTTTCTTATTTTCAGGAATTTTTGCAATTTTTGCTATTTCTGCAATTTTCAGGAATTTTTGCGATTTTTGCAATTTTCAGGCATTTTTACAATTTTTAGGAATTTTTGCGATTTTTTCAATATTCAGGAATTTTTGCAATTTTCAGGAATTTTTGCAATTTTTGTTATTTCAGCAATTTTCAGGCATTTTTGCGATTTTTGCAATTTTCAGTAATTTTTGCAATTTTTGCATTTTTCAGTAATTTTCGCAATTTTTGCAATTTTCAGGAATTTTTGCGATTTTTGCAATTTTCTGGAATTATTGCGATTTTTTCAATTTTCAGGAATTTTTGCAATTTTCAGGAATTTTTGCTATTTTTGCAATTTTCAATAATTTTTGCAATTTTTGCAATTTTCAGGAATTTTTGCTATTTTTGCAATTTTCAAGAATTTTTGCAATTTTCAGGAATTTTTGCGATTTTTGCAATTTTCAGGAATTTTGGCAATTTTTGCTATTTTCAGGAATTTTTGCAATTTTCAGGAATTTTTGCGATTTTTGCAATTTTCAGGAATTTTTGCAATTTTCAGGAATTTTTGCTATTTTTGCATTTTTCAGTAATTTTTGCAATTTTCAAAAATTTTTGCGATTTTTTCAATTTTCAGGAATTTTTGCGATTTTTTCAATTTTCAGGAATTTTTGCGATTTTTGCAATTTTCAGGAATTTTTGCAATTTTTGCTATTTTCAGGAATTTTTGCGATTTTTGCAATTTTCAGGAATTCTCACAATTTTTGCTATTTTCAGGAATTTTTGCAATTTTCAGTATATTTTTGCAATTTTTGCTATTTCCAGGAATTTTTGCGATTTTTGCAATTTTCAGGAATTTTTTGCAATTTTCAGGAATTTTTGCTATTTTTGCATTTTTCAGTAATTTTTGCAATTTTTGCTATTTTCAGGCATTTTTGCGATTTTTGCAATTTTTTCAATTTTCAGGAATTTTTGCGATTTTTTCAATTTTCAGGAATTTTTGCAATTTTTGTTATTTCAGCAATTTTCAGGCATTTTTGCGATTTTTGCAATTTTCAGAAATTTTTGCAATTTTTGCTATTTTCAGGAATTTTTGCAATTTTTGCTATTTCCAGGAATTTTTGCCATTTTCAGGAATTTTTGCGATTTTTGCAATTTTCAGGAATTTTTGCGATTTTCAGGAATTTTTGCGATTTTTGCAATTTTCAGTAATTTTTGCAATTTTTGCAATTTTCAGGAATTTTTGCGATTTTTGCAATTTTCAGGAATTTTTGCGATTTTTGCAATTTTCAGGAATTTTTGCAATTTTCAGGGACTTTTGCGATTTTTGCAATATTCAGGAATTTTTGCGATTTTTGCAATTTTCAGGAATTTGTCAATTTTTGCTATTTTCAGGAATTTTTGCCATTTTCAGGAATTTTTGCAATTTTCGCAATTTTCAGGAATTTTTGCAATTTTCAGGAATTTTTGCTATTTTTGCATTTTTCAGTAATTTTTGCAATTTTCAGGAATTTTTGCGATTTTCAGGAATTTTTGCGATTTTTGCAATTTTCAGGAATTTTTGCTATTTTTGCATTTTTCAGTAATTTTTGCAATTTTTGCTATTTTCAGGAATTTTTGCGATTTTTGCAATTTTCTGGAATTTTTGCTATTTTTGCATTTTTCAGTAATTTTTGCAATTTTTGCTATTTTCAGGAATTTTTGCAATTTTTGCAATTTTGAGGAATTTTTGCTATTTTTTCAATTTTCAGGAATTTTTGCGATTTTTGCAATTTTCAGGAATTTTGTCGATTTTTGCTATTTTCAGGAATTTTTGCAGTTTTCACAGTTTTCAGGAATTTTTGCGATTTTTGCAATTTTCAGGAATTTTTGCAATTTTTGCAATTTTCGCAATCTTCAGGCATTTTTGCGATTTTTTCAATTTTTGCAATTTTCAGGAATTTTTGCAATTTTCAGGAATTTTTGCTATTTTTGCATTTTTTCAGTAATTTTTGCAATTTTTGCAATTTTCAGGAATTTTTGCGATTTTTGCAATTTTCAAGAATTTTTGCAATTTTTGCAATTTTCAGGAATTTCTGCAATTTTTGCTATTTCTGCAATTTCCAGGAATTTTTGCAATTTTTGCAATTTTCAGGAATTTTTGCTATTTTTGCAATTTTCAGGAATTTTTGCAATTTTCAGGAATTTTTGCTATTTTTGCATTTTTCAGTAATTTTTGCAATTTTTGCTATTTTCAGGCATTTTTGCGATTTTTGCAATTTTTAGGAATTTTTGCAATTTTTTCAATTTTCAGGAATTTTTGCGATTTTTCCAATTTTCAGGAATTTTTGCGATTTTTTCAATTTTCAGGAATTTTTGCAATTTTCAGGAATTTTTGCAATTTTTGTTATTTCAGCAATTTTCAGGCATTTTTGTTATTTTTGCATTTTTCAGTAATTTTTGCAATTTCTGCAATTTTCAGGCATTTTTGCGATTTTTTCAATTTTCAGGAATTTTTGCGATTTATTCATTTTTCAGGAATTTTTGGAATTTTCAGGAATTTTTGCTATTTTTGCAATTTTCAGTAATTTTTGCAGTTTTTGCAATTATCAGGAATTTTTGCAATTTTTGCAATTTTCAGGATTTTCTGCAATTTTTGCTATTTCTGCAATTTCCAGTAATTTTTGCAATTTTTGCTATTTTCAGGCATTTTTGCGATTTTTGCAATTTTTAGGAATTTCTGCAATTTTTTCAATTTTCAAGAATTTTTGCGATTTTTCCAATTTTCAGGAATTTTTGCGATTTTTTCAATATCCAGGAATTTTTGCAATTTTCAGGAATTTTTGCAATTTTTGTTATTTCAGCAATTTTCAGGCATTTTTGTTATTTTTGCATTTTTCAGTAATTTTTGCAATTTCTGCAATTTTCAGGCATTTTTGCGATTTTTTCAATTTTCAGGAATTTTTGCGATTTATTCATTTTTCAGGAATTTTTGCAATTTTCAGGAATTTTTGCTATTTTTGCAATTTTCAGTAATTTTTGCAATTTTTGCAATTTTCAGGAATTTTTGCTATTTTTGCAATTTTCAGGAATTTTTGCAATTTTCAGGAATTTTTGCGATTTTTGCAATTTTCAGGAATTTTCGCGATTTTTGCAATTTTCAGGAATTTTGGCAATTTTTGCTATTTTCAGGAATTTTTGCCATTTTCAGGAATTTTTGCGATTTTTGCAATTTTCAGGAATTTTTGCAATTTTCAGGAATTTTTGCTTATTTTGCAATTTTCAGGAATTTTTGCAATTATCAGGAATTTTTGCTATTTTTGCATTTTTCAGTAATTTTTGCAATTTTTGCTATTTTTGCTATTTTCATGCATTTTTGCGATTTTTGCAATTTTTAGGAATTTTTGCAATTTTTTCAATTTTCAGGAATTTTTGCGATTTTTCCAATTTTCAGGAATTTTTGCGATTTTTTCAATTTCCAGGAATTTTTGCAATTTTCAGGAATTTTTGCAATTTTTGTTATTTCAGCAATTTTCAGGCATTTTTGCGATTTTTGCAATTTTCAGAAATTTTTGCAATTTTTGCTATTTTCAGGAATTTTTGCAATTTTTGCTATTTTCATGAATTTTTGCCTATTTCAGGAATTTTTGATTTTTGCAATTCTCAGGATTTTTTGCTATTTTTGCATTTTTCAGTAATTTTTGCAATTTTCAGGCATTTTTGCGATTTTTTCAATTTTCAAGAATTTTTGCGATTTTTGCAATTTTCAGGAATTTTCGCGATTTTTGCAATTTTCAGGAATTTTGGCAATTTTTGCTATTTTCAGGAATTTTTGCCATTTTCAGGAATTTTTGCGATTTTTGCAATTTTCAGGAATTTTTGCAATTTTCAGGAATTTTTGCGATTTTTTCAATTTTCAGGAATTTTTGCGATTTTTGCAATTTTCAGGAATTTTTGCAATTTTTGCAATTTTCAGGAATTTTTGCTATTTTTGCATTTTTCAGTAATTTTTGCAATTTTTGCTATTTTCAGGCATTTTTGCGATTTTTGCAATTTTTAGTAATTTTTGCAATTTTTTCAATTTTCAGGAATTTTTGCGATTTTTCCAATTTTCAGGAATTTTTGCAACTTTTGCAATTTTCAGGCATTTTTGTAATTTTTGCAATTTTCAGGCATTTTTGTGATTTTTGCAATTTTCAGGAATTTTGGAATTTTTACAATTTTCCGGAATTTTTGCAATTTTTGCATTTTTCAGGAATTATTCCAATTTTCAGGAATTTTTGCAATTTTCAGGAATTTTTGCAATTTTCAGGCATTTTTGCGATTTTTGCAATCTTCAGGAATTTTTGCGATTTTTGCAATTTTCACAATTTTCAGGAATATTTGCGATTTTTTTAATTTTCAGGAATTTTTGCAATTTTTGCAATTTTCAGGAATTTTTGAAATTTTCAGGCATTTTTGCGATTTTCGCAATTTTCAGGAATTTTTCGCGGTTTTCAGGAATTTTAACAATTTTCAGTAATTTTTTCAATTTTTGCAATTCTCAGGTATTCTTGCAATTTCCAGAAATTTTTGCAATTTTCAGGAATTTTTGCAATTTTTGCAATTTTCAGGCATTTTTGCGATTTTTGCAATTTTCAGGCATTTTTGCGATTTTTGCAATTTCCAGGCATTTTTACAATTTTTGCATTTTTCAGGAATTTTTCCAATTTTCAGGAATTTTTGCAATTTCTGCAATTTTTGCAATTTTCAAGAATTTTTGCAATTTGTGCAATTTCCAGAAATTTTTGCAGTTTTCAGGAATTATTGCAATTTTCAGGCAATTTTTCTTTCATATGGGAGGCGTTTGAAATTTTGGGAAAAATGCGCAGCTTTGATTATCCTATAGAATCTCATCCGGTAAAGATGGTCAATGAAACGAACTTTCAGAAACTGAAAAATAATTGAAAATCGGTTGAGGAAATCGAAAGTTATGATGATTAAAATTTGATCGAAAAAATGCAATTTTACGTTTCATGTGTTGAGCAGTTTATTTCACTCACCTCATCAACATTCATCTGAAAAAAATCCAAGGGAACTATAATATGAAAAGATAATCTTCAGGTTTAGGGGACATCTAGGTGACCAAGACTTCTACACTCTGGTGGGGAACGAATATCCCCACCTCATCCAAACGATCAACTGCAAGTTCAACAGACAACTTTGCACCTGGTGGCGGGACCACGGATACAGCAATATATTCGAGAATTATTTCAAGTGCAATGGAGATATCGTCGTACTACACGGGAATTGCAATACCAGAATACCCAAATGACAAGTTCCATTTATTATTTTGGTAAAACTGCATTTATCTTGCAATGGTATTTTCAGCTGAAAAACACGAATTTGATAATGAAAATGTGAAGAAACCCTTATTTGTCCATATTTCAAGAAAAAGTTCGAAATTTCGCCTTCTTTTTCTCCTTGTGTTGGATGCATTTACTGCTACCTGATCTTCTTATTTTGTCATTGGACACTTTATATACCCATGATGTACTTTAATGACACATTTCCATAATGATACCTGAATCATACAGGGTGGTTCAAAAAGTAGTAGTGGAGTTTTCTTGGAATTGACGTACTCAGGATTTGTCTTGTTTCTCAATTGCTCTGGAGTAAGTCAACTCCAAGAAAACTCCACTACTACTTTCTCAACCACCCTGTATGATTCAGGTATTTGCATAAAATATTGTCATCACGAATTATTAACTTTCTCACCAAGTTTTGCAGGATTCCAATCATTCGATGGATATGAATATCAGGACGGGGACGGGTGCGGTTTCATGGAAACTTGAACATCTTGTGTACAATATGTAGTCTGATTCAAAAAATGCAATCATCATGAATCGATGTTGATATTAGTATACTACGGAATGTCCAAAAATGAATTGATTTCAACCGCCCACTATTTCGGAAATAATTGGAACATTTGCTATTTTTGGACCAACTCTGTATATCGTGAGTACGTGCAGATATCATCGAACTCTATAGTGGATTTTCACCGGCCACATGGACAAACAAAACGTAGTCGATTTGATTTTGGTATTCGAAAAGGAAACTTCACAATGGCCATTCGAAATTTTGAAAAAGTCAACTTCAGCACCCTGTATAATACAAACTATTGAATTTGAAGCGTTGATAATTGGGACATCTGATCAGCATCACGATTTCTACGATGCATCCAAAATTCGAGAAAATTCACCGAAAGCCAATTTCCCCCCTATTGCAGTGCGGGGTCCTTTGTAACTTTATAGTGAAATATGTCAATAAATAATGGTTTGTTCACATTTTCATTATCAAATTCGTGTTTTTCAGACAAAAATACGTAAGTACCAAAAAACATTTTCGAAAAAAAAATCATCGCATGATAAATGCAGTTTTACCATTATTTTATCATAGGACTCATATACAGGGTGTCAATTTGAAAACTTCCACCCTCAATATCTCCCTCCAAGTCGATAATATGGAAAAACGAAAAGACAGGTCGATTTTATTTTCGAGGGGGACATGGTTCTAAAATATTTTCAGCCCCGCGGCGTTGCCGCTTCTAACGAAAAGAAGCAACAACTTTGTTATTTCAAATGGAACACCCTGTATTTTATTGCATTTTTTGATTCTCACTGAAAAGCTGATTTCATCAATGTATCACACTTGGGGTCTAGCAGGAATGATTACAGAGATATAGGGTGTTCAAAATCGAGATTTTACAACTTTAGGATTTTTTTGAGTCGAAACTATTCATTATTGGTCAAAACGGCTTTTATGTCCCTATCTCAACTTTTAATTTACTATCTACTGACATTTATTTGAAACAAATACAGGGTGGTTCAAGATTCAGACTTTTGATCACCCTGTATTTGTTTCAAATAAATGTCAGTAGATAGTAAATCAAAAGTTGAGATAGGGACATGAAAGCCGTTTTGACCAATAATGAATAGTTTCGACTCAAAAAAATCCTAAAGTTGTAAAATCTCGATTTTGAACACCCTATATCTCTGTAATCATTCCTGCTAGACCCCAAGTGTGATACATTGATGAAATCAGCTTTTCAGTGAGAATCTAAAAATGCAATAAAATACAGGGTGTTCCATTTGAAATAACAAAGTTGTTGCTTCTTTTCGTTAGAAGCGGCAACGCCGCGGGGCTGAAAATATTTTAGAACCATGTCCCCCTCGAAAATAAAATCGACCTGTCTTTTCGTTTTTCCATATTATCGACTTGGAGGGAGATATTGAGGGTGGAAGTTTTCAAATTGACACCCTGTATTAGTATTTCAGGATGGTAACTGGCCCCTAAATCTTTTCTATTTTGCGTTTTTGATGTCATAAGGAGAATGAATGCTTATCAAAACAACTATTTCTACAATATGCAACTTTTGTTTTCACAATGTTGGTAACGTCAAACTATCAGGCAACAATCAGACATGGAGTGTTTAGTGTTAAAGATTCAAGTTACTGGAGAAAAATAAGCCATCTGGGATGGGATCAGTGATATTAGTTTTCGTGGTAGTCAAGGTCATCATCTGACGTTTTGATGACAATAAAACTCATAGTTTTCATGTCCTCACAACGTCAATGATGACATTGAGTACCACGAATAGAACAATAGAACCTTCCCAATATAAAATAATATCTAATGAATTACCTGATGAATTTCCTGGAAGGAAGACGCAAACAACTCAAAGAACAAGATAATGACATTACTGTCATCTTGGGCATTTGAAATTGAATCTGCTGAAAGTTTAGTGCAGTGGCTGATACAAAATTATGATGATCAATAGTCTGGTCATTCATTTCCTTGAAAGAAGGAAGGAATGTCATCTGAGGCAACATTCTGTTGATTGTGTTGAAGTTCAGGTTTCCAATAGGCCAACCATTTTGAATAGTACACACTAGTAGACTCTACATTGATATGTTTATGTATAATTAGTATTAAACATCCACTGAGGAATGAAACACCAAATGGGTAGGGAACTCACCTTGTTTTTCTGTTTGATACTAGCAGGAACGGTAAGAAACAAATGTTTTCGCGAATCCAAATTATTTTTTGTATTCATATCGTCGATGCCTGATAATTGTCGAACAAGAATGTAGAAGAATTAAATCGTAAGAATCTCAAACATCATCAACTAGATCAGCAAAAATTTTTCATAAAGAACGTCATCAATGAGGAGGTATAGGTTATGTCAAAATGTAACTGCCAAAAAAATCCATATGGTATATGAAAATCTCAGCGTTTTCTCGCGTTTTTCATGTTGTGAAATATCGTGGATTTCTATAATTAATTAAAAAAACGTTCAGAGTTCTGACGACAAAACGGTTGGTGAACTTTGGATTGGTATCTCAAAATCTTGAAATGACCTGAATTGATAATTGAATAATTCTAAAAGATCAAATTAATATTTTTGACTAAGCACATGTGATTTGAATGAAACAGTACAAATGGATGCAAAATGAGAATAGTACATTGAATATGATGTACTGGGTATTTTTCATGGAACTGATACTGACGAATCTGTTTGCCACTTATAATATCATCAATTATTGTTTGTTCCTGAAATTATTTTCGATTTCGATAAAGCAGTACTTGTTAAACGGGGATTTATGAAACCATTTTAATATTTTTTTTACTGTCACAAATTAATTATATTGATTATAAATAAACTAAATTCACTAAATATGATAAATAGCCTTATATTTTATGCACATTATTTCCAGACTTTCATGATTACTATTTTGAAAAAAGAATCGTTCCAAAAAGGAGGCACTTACTTTCCGAACTAGGCCGGAAAAATGCTACTTTCTCAAAGATAAAGTGTCGGGGAAGTGAGCACTTCCCGGACGGTTGCTGAAAAATGTTATTTTTGCGGAAATATAGATGCTCTTGACAAACCACTTCATTTATATTATTCGCGAGATTCACGAAGTGGGCGACATCTAGGTTACATAACACGAACTTCAAACTGGGGGAAAACAAACTGTTGTCTATGGATAAAGTGCATAGACTACATTGCATTCAGTATGCTGTAGCTGTACTCAAACTTGTCAATGACATAAAGTGTTGGCACTGTTGGTAGTGATGATGGTTGAGTTGGTTAATTTTTTCACATCATTACATTTTTATTAGTTTAGGTAACAGTGAAGAGGTGTAGAATTGGAGATAGTTCAAACAATTCAAACTAATTATGACGAGCAAATCAATTGACATATAAAAGAACAGCTACAACATGTTCACAATACCCAGATTGTCTTGCTTTGCAGGAACAAATACAAATCTATCGTTCTACAGGAGTTCCTCTGGACCCCAACTTCAATTTTACTTCATATGGGGGAGATTTCATCGCCGAAGTTTGTAGACAAAGTGCCAAAATGTGCCTTTTGTTGAAGTCTTCTGCCTCACACAAAATCACATGATCAGCACGGAGAACTGCTTCTCCTTCCACTACTGGTCGGCTTTCCCCATCTAAATAGAGCAAAATATCTGCCAAAAGAACATCTACAACAGACGTTATTAGCGTTTTCGATCGAATATTGACAATTTATGTCAAGAAATTTAAAAACTTATCACTCTTATCAGTACACAGTACACAAGCTAATGGCACTAATGGGATTGAGTGAGGATTGAGTTTGTTTTCCCCCAGTTTTGACGTGGCTTTGACATGGAACGATGAAAACCGAGCGCCACCTGGTAACATTGATTCCCGCGAATAGAAGAAATTCTACGCGCACACGAAATTCTGGCGCGGAATTGAATAAAATAGGTATACAAATATTTCATATGACCCCGTCAGTTTCATAAATTCCCGTTTTACGGTATTATTCATATCATTCGAACATGATCATACATCATGGAATTTCGCCTATTTTGATCGTTGATCTAAGTTAGGTGAAATCATGATCAACGCGGGTTATTATAGTTCATTACAGCTCCTTGTTGAAGGGCTCCTAAATCACAGATCATAAAGATGTCTTGTGTGCTGAAAGGAATATCAATTTTGAATCTGGATCAAATTCGCCTACATCGAAAATGATCTCTCAGATTATTATTGTTTTTTAAATAGTATTATTATTAGTATTTTCGAATAGGTATTAAAATGTTTCTTCTTGCCATTGATTGCATGGATAGAATTCGTGTGATATTTCGTTCATGTCGTGAACATATTATGCATATTATTAAATGTTGATATTTGCCATTTTTGTATTATAAGAGTATAAAACGTAAGATGATGGTGCTATCCATATGGAATTATGGAATAATATCAAAACAATCATGTTACTTCCATGTATTTTTGTGAATCAGATCACGTGTTCACATTAGCTGAACTAATCATTTTATGTTAGTGAAAACATTTTATATAAAACACTTTTTGGATTTGTGATATCTACTAAAAAAAGTGCACGGTTATCTGAATTCATTTTAGTGATTTTCAAAAGTGCAATGAAAATAAAAATTAAAAAATATTTTTATATTGTTAATATATGTATTTTTCAACAATAAAATTGTTTCTTATAGGACATATTTGATTTACAACCCTTTCAAAATCAACACTGATAAATATAAATATTAATATAGATAATAACACTAGCATAGGTAATATAAGGATAAATAATCAGAATGACACTTATTGAAAACAATTATATGATAAATGCCAAACCTTGACGTTTGAAGTATTGACACTCGGCAAATTTGTTGAAGTATTCAAAAAGCTAATTTTTCTTATTCAAAGTTTATATGCTTGTCTCATCATCAGATCAAAATAGCAGTCGTTGTCAATGGAGGCACTTATTCCTGCATAGTAGTTCAGAAACTCTTCTTTGGTAACCTGTAATATAATGTGAGGAATTATCAACACAGGAAGATTGTTTGAACTGTATAAAAATTTCAATGCACCTCCGAACAATAAACCCCCCTGTATGATGAAAGCATTTAATCTGTGGTTTGAAAGCACGTTTTTTTGAAAATCCTCAACAGAAAACTGTAATTTGTAATATGGTAGGGTCTAGTGTAATGATGTTATACGATAGATAGTTTTTACGAAAATATGATATATCAAGTCATATCAAAAACACTTTTTTCATATTCTGGACTTGATTTCCAATCATTTCGATCAAAAAAAATTGCGCTAGCTCTTTGAATAAAAGGGTGAGGAACGGATGAATAGTACTTTTCTAAAACTCTTATTACTACAACTTGGTGTAACGGGATTCAATGATCTTGGTCTCATTATGGAGGGTTTTTTCAGATCTTGCAGATAAATCACGAATCAAGTCGATTTAAATCCCGTGGTGGCCGCTAGATGGCATCGTTTGAAAAATCAGCCGATTTGTCATTTTTTTCCGAGAATTTCAACTGGAACCATATATTTCTTCTGCTACAATATGAAAGTGAAGTAAGCGAGAAGAAAAATTGTGAAAACCGTGAGTTGATACCTCTCGAAGAACCAGAGAAATACTTGGAATAATATTATTAAAATTTAAACTGCTAGCATGTCAAATGCCTCCTCATTCAATATCGGCATTTTGACAAAAAAGCAATCCATAATGAACAGTGAAAACTTCCAATAGAACTTCAATTATATTTTGACGTTTCTTTCATTCAAAGCCAACTTAATAGCCTTTTCTCATTCCTGAGCCTACTCACTTCTTACATTTCAATTAGCTATGTCATTACTAGGAGTCTCCTTTACTATTGTGAGATATAACTTCATAGATACAGAATATTTCTGATTACGATTATTGAAGTTAGATTCCTGTGGTGAATATTTTCATAATACTATTTCGAGTATTTCACCGGTTCCTCAAGAGGTATCAATTTGCGGTTTTCCCTATTCTTCTTCTCGTTTGCTCTACTTTCATATCAGAGTGGAATATATAAATACATGGTTCCATTTGAAATTCTCGAAAAAAATGGAAAATTGTCTTTTTTTCCAAAAGATTTTATCTAGCGGCCACCACAGGATTTAAATCGACCTCTTCCGTTTCACCAAACTGTAGTTATGAGAGTTTTTTCAAAGTACTTTTCATCCTTCCTTCCCTTTTTTATTTAAAGAGCTAGCGCAAGTTTTTTTTTTGATCGAAATGATTGGAAATCAACTCGAGAACATAAAAAAAGTGTTTTTGATATGTCTTGATATATCAAATTTTCATAAAATTCCGTTTATTAAACTGGCCAATGCAATTACGCCCTCTAGCGGCTGTCCTGAAAACTTGAAAATAATTTCCGGAGACTTCTCTTGGCCACTTTCATCACTCATATTATTTTTCAAAACCTGTGCGGCAAATAGCTTCCGAGATACAGCCGGCGTCCTTTCTTAGTGGTACACCTGGTACATTGAGTCTACAGTGTGTCCCACTTACCATGCTCACCATGGGTATCTTTTTAACGGTGAGAGATACGAGGTCGGTTAAATGACACCAAATGTGGAGTTTGTCAAGGCCAACTATAATGTGAAAACATATTTTGATAAAATTTATTCGTTTTTGTTTTATACGTAAAAAACAGATTTTGATCATTTTCATGTCTCCTCCGTAACTTCTTTATTTATGAAAATATTCAAATCGGAATTTCACATTCTCATGGCAATTTTTCAAAGTGATTTCAAGGAAAATATGAAATTTATACTAACTCTTCTAGAATTTGAGATTTCAGCACCAACTTTAGTTTTTTAAATGTAGGTCATAGCCTCATAGCTCACTATGACTTAGTTACAAATAACTTTTTTTTCTCTTACAGATGATATGTTGCAGTAATAGTTTTGTGTTGATGTGTGAAATGACGATAACTCCGTTGTTATCAACACAAAACTATTACTGCAACATATCATCTGAAAGAGAAAAAAAAGTTATTTGTAACTAAGCCATAGTGAGTTATGACCTACATTTAAAAAACTAAAGTTGGTGCTGAAATCTCAAATTCTAGAAGAGTTGGTATAATTTTCATAAATAAAGAAGTTATGGGGGAGACAAGAAAATGATCAAAATCTGTTTTTTGCGTATAAAACAAAAACGAATAAATTTTATCAAAATATTTTTTCACATTATAGTTGGCCTTGACAAACTCCACATTTGGTGTCATTTAACCGACCACGTATCTCTCACCGTCAAAAAGATACCCATGGTGAGCATGGTAAGTGGGACACACTGTATAAAGGGACTGGGGTTATGCTATACAGGGAGGCTTTGAAATAAGTGCAAATATCTCAAACACCGAGAAATCTCGACGTGTACTATCGAATGGCACTAGTAAAAAAATTATGGGATCAAAGTAAAATTTAAGGTTAGACTCCTTTTTCCACCCAAAGTTCTACACTGTAGCAAATCTGACGCCACCTGTGTTCAAATTTCCATGTGGTAGGCATAATCACGCAGAGTTAAATCATTTAAATTGTTTTAAAGTGGCGTACTAGATTTTTTCAATTAAAAGAATTTGAAAAAACCTGATATCATGGGAATATTCCCAAGACTGTATCATATTAATGTGCTGAATATGTGCACTTATTTCAAAAACACCTTGTATAAGAAAGTTGTAGCATTGACATTCTAGTGATATGGGTAAAACTGCATTTAGCATGCGATGGTTTTTTTTTCGAAAATTTCTATTGGAACTTACGTATTTTTGTCTGAAAAACACGAATTTGATAATGAAAATGTGAACAAACCATTATTTATCAAGATATTTCACTATAAAATTACACATTCCACCTTCTTTTCCGCCTCTCTTCTGGATTGAATTTAAAACAATTTACCCTTCTTTTTTCATCATTGGACAATTTATATATATCACAATGTAAGACACATTTTTTTCTATTACTGAGTCAACTAGAAATATGAATTTCTTGTGATTTATCCATATTTAGTGAAAAAAAGGGAGAATATCTTTTGAAATAATGGCGTGTGTAATGTCATTCCAAAGCAATCTATTGATATTTGACATCTCGTATTTGGAATCATGGGATTGCCTATGGATTAAATGGCCGTCATCTGCTCACTAAATAGGAAAAACTCATCATAAAAATCATATTTACTGTATAAAAATGTGTCATTGAAGTACATCATGAGTATATAAAGTGTCCAATGACAAAATAAGAAGAGCAAGTACCTGTAAATGCATCCAACGCAAAAGGGGGAAAAGGAGTCGAAATTTCGAACTTTTTTTTGAAATATCTCGATAAATAGTGGTTTTTTCACATTTTCATGATCAAATTCGTGTTTTTCAGACAAAAATACGTAAGTACCAAAAAATTTTTGGAAAAAAAAAACCCATCGCATGCTAAATGCAGTTTTACCGTGATATGAAATGACAAAGCCGTAAACTTACTTTACCGTCCCTGGTGGCATCGGTCTCGAAATTGCCCAAGAATTTTTTGAGGATCGATTCTTCAGTATCTTCCCCGGCTATGTATCGAGGATGTGATTTGACATTGTAGACATTCTTGAGATCCTCCAGATTGATTTCGGCGTCTCCGGTCTTATCCATTTTAGCGAAAGCCTCATCTATCACCTTTATACGGGAATCACTCAAAGGAGGCTGAAAATGTTGGATTTGATGGGTAACTAATTGAATTGAGCTCTTTTCTACCTTGAACGAGAAAGAGGAAAGTTCTCCTCTTCCATCTTTCTCTTCAATGCCAACAACGTGGCCGCATTGAAATATAGAGAGGTCCGATAAATCTTTCCTTGTCTAACCTATAGTCTGCGCCACTGAACTATTTTCAATATTATAATGACGTGATATGTCTATGTCATAAATGTCATTGACTGATGACATTTCGAATTTTCAAAATGGAATTTTGAATTACATCAAACTTATTTTGACCATATATACGTATTAATAATCAATACGGATAATCTCTATCTGTTTCCATAGCGAAACATGAAGTCGATTTTTGAAGACAAATGACTATCCATAAGGAAAAGTGAGATACTGCGCATGATCAAATACGCAAGTTCAAATGACAATCATCCTCATTCATAACCTAACTCATTATTTTGAATATTTTGACATGAGTGACATGACATTTATGGACTATGTTTATGTTTTATTATTAGGATTTTCGGGATATAATTCATTATTTCAGGATGATTTAATGATTATCAATGATACAGGACATGCTAGTGAAAATATTAATTCTGAAAGAATGGAATCATTTATTTATTTTTGTCCACAGGTCTTCATTATCTTGGTAGGTAAGTTTTTCAAATGATGAAGTGTTACAAAATTACCCTTGAGAATATCAAATGCTAATACTTACATTTGGTTTCCCTATGATATGTTCATCCCATTTTCATTATCCCATTGCCTCAGTATAGGTACTCGCTTCTCAATTTAAAAATCAGGAAAAGCATAAATGAACCATAATTGATATGATGCATTCCATATACAATTTCACATGAAACAGTTCTGGTCTATTCATATTTATATACATATTTGATTTACATTTAATTAAATAAATGAACAATTATATCTTTTTAAACACCCTGAAATCACTGAATTTATCGAAATCTATGGATACCACTGATGAAAAATCGCTAATAAACATGTCCGCGAAACGTAAACAAAAACAACAGAATGTCATGACCTTTTGAAACGATCAGACACATACTGCTTTGATTGAAAGGCTAGTGAACGTCATTGTCCACCGAAACGCATGTCTTTGATGACTACTATAATAGCGCATGCGTATCATGCCACCAAATCCTTATGGATATTCATTTGTTTCATATTTTTGGTTTCATCCTGGCACCCGTTATGATCCGTATTGTTTATTAATACGTATATGATTTTGACATAATTTGTTTATTTCGTTAAATTTAGCACTCTGCTGAATTGAAAAATAGTTCAACGGCACAAAGTAGATGTTAGACAAGGAAAGATTTATCGGACCTCTCTATATTTCAATGCGGCCACGTTGGTAGCATTGCAGAGAGAGATGGAAAAGGAGAGAACTTTTCTCTCTCTCGTTCAAGATAGAAAAGAGCTCAATTACGTGGTCTGGTGTTTCATTAGTTTGGCAGTTAAATCCATGATCAACAAGTAGAAGAGGGGGGGTCCATTGAAATTGGTTGGAAAATGCTTTCTAAGTAAGCTAAAGCATTTTGATGCGCTCCTGAATATGGTATTATTTCAATCTTTTTCATTTCATCTCTCATGAAAAGACAGATTAATTCTCAAAATGTAATTATTCTGTTTTGCACTGTTCCGAAGATATTTAATTTGATTGGACCTTCTTCAGAAGTGTAGTAGGTACCTAAATTCCAAGAGGATTCTAGCTTCTTTAGGAAGGATTTTTCGATCCAGATTTATATTTTTGGCCATGGAATCTAAAACGTCTTAGTTACGAATAGAATAGAATAGAGTTTTTTGATCACATTACACATTTTTGAGATGTTTGTAACAAGTCATTGTGTAGATGAAATTTTCGAATTTCGATGGCTTTTAGTGGTGACGTTTTTTAAAGTTTTCAGGAGACAATAATAATAATAATGTCTATGTTGTTGGGTTTTGGATATCAAAATGTATCCAACTTCGATAACTAATATCATATTCTGCAAGAATGTTGAAGTTACTCATCAGAATGAAACTATGATTGATGTGATGAGTATAATTGAAATGTTCTATTTCTAGCAATGAATAATTCACCCTATATATTGGTAAAGAAGAGAAGAAGTCACTTTCTGATGGTCATTAGGTATTCTCCTCAAAGGCCTCTATTATTCGTGTTAGGAGTATATACAGTTCCTCATGACTCACCCTGTATAATTCACCTATGTGGTCGAAAACTAACCATATAATATATTGATTACTCAATACTAAATTTTGTGTTGATGTGTGGTATGACATTAATTTTTTTTTATTGGTCCAACCACCACGTGCTTTCGCACAATGTTGCCAAGTATGTTAACGAACAAAAATCCGTAAAAATCACGATTTTGCCAAATTTTATGATATTGGTGGTATTGTTACTAAGCCATGGATATGTAGAATGAGCAGTAATACATTGTTTTACAAATTTCAAGGACACAGATTCGTCACAATTTAAAAACAAAATTTTGAAATTTTGGTTTCGTTGGACGAAAGGTTAAAAATTAGTTACAGACATTTTGAAATGTTTCGCCTTCTTACCCTAACGTGTACCAAAAATTCGTCTAAATTGACATTTCCGTTGCCGTCAGTATCAAACTTTTGGAACATTTCTTTGGCTTCGTCGTCCGTTATCTCTAGTCCCATTTCTTTCAAACCTAGGATGAATTCTTCCTGATTCAGGTTTTTACTCCCGTCTTCGTCCATCCTTCTGAATAATCTATAATTCATCGAGAAAATACTTCATTTATTATTTATACAGGGTGTTTCATAATTGAATGTCAATATATTCGAGGAGGCGATTCTTGGGCTCATTCTAAGAGGAAAGTTTCATATGAACGTATGACCTAAACGTCCTAACTTTTGAGATACAGGGTGGTGAAGTTCTCAAAAATTAACATAGCCTACTACAATGAAAAGTTATAATGGGCGTGTACACCTTAGTAGAACTTTTAACTCAAACCATGTTTATAATGATCCTTTTATACATAAATAATGATTGACGACATAATTCGATCGACAAATTTACTGGAATATTTTATTTTTGGGCATAAATAATAGTACCTTCTGAATACGGGCCCTCTTATGACGTAGAAACCTCATCTCGCCATAGTTAAAAGAAAATACCAAACGTCCGACGGAGACTGAGGCAACTGATATATCAATTCATTCAACTGTGATCTCGCGCTAATTCACTCTGTCAGAAATCATGTATCATTCATCTCTGTCTGGAATAGTCTTGTTTCAGTATTAGGGTTTTGACGTCACATCATCGCCTCGTTTTCAGAGGTCCGAAAAATCGGGGATTCCAATATTTTTTTATAAAACGTAGGGAGCTCACAGCAAGAAACGGTTTGCGGTGGTGAGCTAGTTTGGGTGAGTTCTATCGAATTATGAAATAGAAAATTTTTGTGATATAAGCCCATTCCAAAATACGAATACGAAGTTCATGAACTATGAATTATATTTCTGAAATTTGATCTGAAAAATGAAATCTATACCTCTGCATTGTGATATTGTCATATTAACGATATTGCTATAATCGTAGTGAAAAGCTTTTTATATTTTTAAGCGAAGACCGTCATCAGATTGAGAAAATTGTGGTGATCAAATTTGCTTAAAAATGATTGGGAATTTCAGGAATGATTCCATTTTCTGCCAAAATAGGTATGTGAAATTCCATACGAACGCCACTGGTGGCAACAAAAAAAAAATGTGGTACACTAACTAATGCCTCTTGATACATAGTTCATGTATGCCAAATTTCGTCAGAATATCTGCAGTGGTATTACTGATATTGATAAAAAACTATTTATTTTTTTAAGCGAAAACCGTGCATCAGATCATTTTAAAAAATGGTGGTGCTCAAATTTGCTTAGAAATGATTGGAAATTCCAGGAATGATTTTAATTCCGAGATTAATCAGTAGCGTACCATCAATGTCTGCCAAAATAGGTATGTGAAATTCCATACAAGCGTCAATGGTGGCAAATCAAAAAAAAATGTGGTACAGTAACTGATGCCTCTTGATACATAGTACATGTATGCCAAATTCCATTAGAATATCTGAAGTGGTATTATACAGTGTGTCCCACTTACCATGCTCACCATGGGTATCTTTTTAACGGTGAGAGATACGAGGGGTGGTACGAGGTCGGTTAAATGACACCAAATGTGGAGTTTGTCAAGGCCAACTATAATGTGAAAACATATTTTGATAAAATCTATTCGTTTTTGTTTTATACGCAAAAAAACAGATTTTGATCATTTTCATGTCTCCTCTGTAACTTCTTTATTTATGAAAATATTCAAATAGGAATTTCACATTCTCATGGCAGTTTTTCGAAGTGATTTCGGAAAAAATACGAAATTCATACCAACTTTTCTAGAATTTGAGATATCAGCACCAACTTTAGTTTTTCGAATGTAGGTCATAGCTCACTATGACTTAGTTACAAATAACTTTTTTTTCTCTTACAGATGATATGTCGCAGTAATAGTTTTGTGTTGATAACAACGGAGTTATCGTCATTTATACAAAAACAAAAAATTATTTGGAAGCCGCCATCTTGAATTTATAAATTTTAACAAGAAAACCATGATCTCCGACCTCGAAAACCCCCACTTACCCATTTTGAATGGAATCGGACCAAATCTTGTCCGCCATCTTGGAGCAGCCATTTTTTTTAATTTCAACAAAAATTCCATAATGTATTGTCACCTAAATTATGAACACCTGCCAAATTTCAAGTTAATCGGAGTTATGGAATTTTTGTTGAAATTAAAAAAAATGGCTGCTCCAAGATGGCGGACAAGATTTGGTCCGATTCCATTCAAAATCACCCATTTTGAATGGGGGTTTTCGAGGTCGGAGATCATGATTTCTTTGTTAAAATTCATAAATTCAAGATGGCGGCTTCCGGATATTTTTTTTGTATAAATGACGATAACTCCGTTGTTATCAACACAAAACTATTACTGCGACATATCATCTGTGAGAGAAAAAAAAGTTATTTGTAACTAAGTCATAGTAAGCTATGACCTAACATTTGAAAAACTAAAGTTGGTGCTGATATCTCAAATTCTAGAAGAGTTGGTATAAATTTCATATTTTTTTCGAAATCACTTTGAAAAACTGTCATGAGAATGTGAAATTCCTATTTGAATATTTTCATAGATAAAGATGTTACGGAGGAGACATGAAAATGATCAAAATCTGTTTTTTGCGTATAAAACAAAAACGAATAGATTTTATCCAAATTTTTATTCACATTATAGTTGGCCTTGACAAACTCCACATTTGGTGTCATTTAACCGACCTCGTATCTCTTACCGTTAAAAAGATACCCATGGTGAGCATGGTAAGTGGGACACACTGTAGATAATAATGAAAAACTACTAATTTTTTAGAACTTTACCACTCCGTATCTCAGAAGTCAGGACTTAGGTCATACGTTCATATGTAACTTTCTTCTTAGAATGGGCCCAAGAATCGCCTCCCTAAATATTGACATCCAATTGTGGAACACCCTGTATAAATATCGTTCATTTTTATTTATTTGGTGATCTAAAAAATCGTCATCTGTTGGCCAGAAATCTTAGTTAAGTTCGAAGAAAGATGATAAATACTATACAGGGTGTAATTTAATTGATGGCTGAAAATAAATGAAATGGTTCCTCAGCTAATTTTAAGAAGAAACATTTTGAGCTATAGAGGGTGTTAGAATTTTAGGCAAAAAATAATTTTTGCATAGTGATGAGAGTTTGAGGTGGTTGGATTTACGCGATTAAAATTCTTACCTTCCTAGACCTAAAATGCCAGTGGCACCTCTGGATAGACACAGCAGTCTCAAACGTTGCACTGGATCCCCAGAATTTCCAGCTGCTTGCAGTTCTCTCAAACTCTTAGAGGCCATTTCGGTTTCTTGACGGGACGTCGCACTTTGCGGTCTGAGCATACTGGAAAAATTACTTGATTTAGATCACAATAATATCTATATGTATATAGGGTGTCCCTGAAAGATACAAAATCTCAGCACATATTTCTAAGGTCAAAAAAAAACGACTTGAAGCATCTTATACCTTAGTCCAATATTGCTCCGTTTCCGAGATACAGGGTGATGAAGATAAAAAATAAAAATCGATAAGTACAACACTCCAAGAAAGTATTTTAAAAAAATCCATTTTTCCACTGCTTATTTAGTGATCAAATTACATTCTCGAAGATAACAGCAAACATATTTTATTCGGAATAATAGAAATAGAAATATCTCGAAATCGACAATGCTCAGATAAGTTCATTGGTAAGCGCCCTCTCATGGCCACGGTGAAAAGTTGTCCGTATTCATGTTTCGCATCCCAAAGAACCCCTGGATATTATTTTTTGAAGTAATACGTTTAAAAACGTTCATGAAATCTGAGGAATTCGATTTTTATTTTTCAACTTTACCACCCTGTATCTCGGAAGCGGAGCAATTTCGGACTGAATTAAGTCATTGAATTGGCTCATTTTGGCAACGTGGTTGTATAAAAATGAATGTTTGTGTGTATGTCCTTAATAGAATCGTAAACGGCTTGACCGATTTCACTAATTCTTTTTTGTTGTGTTTGTTATTGTCAGAAGGTTCCTATATGAGAGAACAAAAATGGAAATTCAAGATGGCGGACCGATTCTATTCAAAATTGGTATCTGGGGGTTTGAGAGGTCGGAGATTATGATTCTCTCCTCATAATTTGAAAATTCAAGATGGCGGATCCAATATGACGAACGAGTTTCATAATTATGATACGATTTTATTCAAAATTGGTACCTATCTGATGAGGTTGGAGATCCTGATAGACGACATAATTCATAATTAACATTACATAATTCATAATTCGATCGAAAAATTAACTAGAATGTTTTATTTGTTGACATAAATAATGATAGTTCCTTCTGAAAACGGACCCTCTTATGACGTAGAAACCGCATCTCGCCATAGTTAAAAAGAAAATACCAAACGCCCGACGGAGACTGAGGCAACTGATATATTAATTCTTTCAACTGTGATCTCGCGCTAATTCACTCTGTCAGAAATCATGCATCATTCATCTCTGTCTGGAATCTGGAATAGTCTTGTTTCAGTATTAGGGTTTTGACGTCACATCATCGCCTCGTTTTCAGAGGTCCGAAAAATCGGGGATTTCAATAATTTTTTATAAAACGTAGGGAGCTCACAGCAAGGAACGGTTTACGGTGGTGAGCTAGTTTGGGTGAGTTCTATCGAATTATGGAATAAATTTTTTTTGTGATATGAGCCCATTACAACAGAGATGGCTTATGGCTATGTCTTTATCGACTAGTGGTTCATTAAATGACGAAAATTACTTTGGTAGTAAAAGCACATTTTACGCCTCGAAAAGGAGTAAATAATGGTAGGTTTTGTAGCTAGTGGTGAAAAAAAAACTATTAAAACACATGCGACTAAATCTATGGAAAAACCAAAACAGATATTAAAACAAACGTATACATATCTTGTTAATGACACTTACTAATTTTCGTTGGTTTTCTGATATGCACTAGGTATCTGATGCTCAATCAGATGATCTAACTGTAGGTACCGGTAAACTGACACTAAAATGTTTATAACTATAACAATGTTGTTAGATATTGGATGATTCATAAGATGGAAAACACCTTCAATTGGGTGAGTAACTCAAGGTTTTTTCGTAATATTGTAATAAACAATATGGTCTGGTTCATTTTTAGGCCATTGCAGAAGTAACAGCACAAATCTACCATGAATAAATATCAAATTAATTAAATACTTTGCTCATATATGTCATTAATTGAATGAATAGTAGGCGAATTCGCATCCTCGTTTAAGCTATCAAACATTATCATCCGCCATAGTGTTACATGATACCTAAATAGATGAGGAATAGTAAGGTTTGTATAGTTTTGAATAAGTATAGGTAAGTAGTATTAATTACTGATTACCGGACAATATAAAATAAAATTATTTATCACATGATACTAACTATCATCAATCAATAATTATATCTATCACATAAAGTAATTGATATAAATACCGATAAAAACTTAACTCAACACATATACCTACATAATTTAGAAATTTGTTGGTTTGATCTCAAAAATCATTTTTTCGGCAACCATCCGGGAAGTGCTCACTTCCCGGACGCTTTTTCTTTGAGAAAGTAGCATTTTTGCGGCCTAGTCCGTGAAGAACGTACTTCCCGGACTAGGCCGGGAAGTATTACATCGTTGTTATTGCCACTGTAACAATGAAAATCTTGGTAGATATGGTTTTGGTAAATGCAGATGATATATAATTACCATAGCAGCGATATATCGGCTGACAGCTATTTGACATGAAATTAGTTGACATTTTGATTTTTGAAAGTTTGGTTGCAGTTATCGCAATAAACTATCGAAAGCAGCTGCGACAAGGGCGTACCCAGGATCTGAACTAGGGGGGGGGCAGCTTAGGCAAGGGAACTAGAAACTACCGAGAATCAGTATCAATCACTAGACATGCCATGCTTCAACTGAGACGTTTTTTTTAAATCTTAATAAACATAAGTATTTCAATTAACTGTTCTTTATTATATTTTCATCTTTAATCTTCTCGGGTTCGCTGCAAATTTTTCCATTACTTTTTTTTCCACCATTTTACGGTTTTCTTCCACAAAATTCCGATGTACGCTCATCAAGCATAATCCAGTCAGCCTTGTCTTACCCATAGTGCTCCTAAGCCAGAATGTAACAAACAGTTGCCAGCTGCTGAAGATGATATGTCGCCGCAGGCGAAATTTTTGGAAATTTAGCGACTTTTTTCGTGATTTAGCGACATTTTTAATCGTATTTCATCATTTTCAGTTAGTTTATATCATCAGATAAAAAATCTTAGAAAACTTTATTTATTCAGATTCTGTTTAGAATGAAAAAATAACAAAACTAAATGAATATAGGTGAATTTTCCTATACCTATAGGTAGGCACATTGGTAAATCACAACATACATTATTTTTCGATCGTATTTAGGTTTGTCCTTGATCTTGTCACACGTTCATAAACCTGTCAAACCATAACCATGTATCAACTCATATTTCTAGTTCAACATCATACAGATCCGCGACTTCATCGCAAATAAAATATTCGTTCACAAGCATCACAAGTTTTCAAACCATATCGAATATACAAACGGGTATACGGGTACGATATCAACAGCGTTGCCAGATACCGCGATTTATCGCAATTTAGGTTACTTTTTTTGTTGGCTCTTGCGATCAAATTATGTTCTTTGCGATAAGCGACTTATTTAAGCTATTTATGAATTTGTAATCAGAACTGATATAAAAACACAATACTTCAACAAAAAGATTTAAAATCTTTCTTTATGAAACATCATTATTTTGCTCAATCGTGATTAAGATACAACATTTTCAGTATTCGGGAAAAAGTCAAGTGGCAGGATGACTTCTAGGGGGGGGGCAGCTGCCCCCCCCCCTGCCCCTCGCTGGGTACGCCCTTGAGCTGCGATAGTGAGTTTGAGAATGTCAACACGAAATTTCCAATGTACCTAACAGTTAGTAGGTATAGGTATTCTGTTCAAATTTCCGTATTTGATACAAATGAGAATTAATAAAGAAGAAATTGTATTCTACAAAGAAATATAATATGGAAACGTGTCTCATTGATTTGTTATACTACATAGTTGCCGAAAAAATAGTGTACGACGTCCAGATACAGTTTTTTTGGACTCGCAGATTTCCAGGACTCGTCTATTCGTCCAAAAAATTACCATTTCAAATCGGTCTAGAAGTTTCGGAGCCTATTCAATACAAACAAACAATCAAATCTTTCCCCTTTATAATATTAGTATAGATGTAATTCAATGTTCTGCAAGGCATTAGCAAGGAAAGTATAGTTGTTTTTCTCCCGAAATCTACCATTGTTGTCCATTTCATGAACATCGTGTGGAAATGACTGTGAGATTTTTGTACTTATTAAATATTTCATTCAACTTTGAGCCTTGTGGCTATTTCGTAGGTGAAATAACGCTACTCAGATGGCGTAGCTTTCATATTGTCTATGGAGGACGCCACTGAGCAGGGAATATAATGCCGACTTGATTTTTCTTTGGCTAGGCTACGCTCAGTCGGCGGTCTTAGGAGAGCTGGCTGGAGACTGCCCGGCACTGATGAGAGTCAAAGAGCTCGACACCAGTCTGTAGGTGTCTAGCGTGGCCTGGCTAAATCGATATCAAAAGGCATTCAGGAAAGAATCACTTGTATCAGTATTAGTTTATACGAGTCGATGCATAGATTTCGGGAGAATGTAATTCAATGTTCTGCGTGGCATCAGCCAGGAAAGTATAGTTGTTTTTCTCGCGAAATCTACCATTGTTGTTCATTTTATGAACATTCTGTGGATATGACTAAAACTGTTTGTATTAATATTTAAAGATATAAATGTTACCTCAATCGCGATCTGGACATTTTTCAACCACTCTGAGTATCCAGTTGCACAGGTCTCTACCGAATTCAGCACTAGAACTAGAATTTCATCACCGACTCACCGATAAGGGTGTGTGAACCTTATCATGTGGGTCTCTTGGGATAACAATGGAAACGTTTTATCGAACCAACGCACCACGCACCGAAGTTGAAAAATTAATTAGACTGGAATGAGAAAACGTTTTGATAAGGGAGCGTAACCGGAAAAAAACAATGCCGGTAGGTGGGCTGGGCTAGGTAAGTAGGTCTCGTTCCCATTTCCTGTTGTGACGTGTGAGAATTCCTAATCTCATAATCGACTAGGTTATGCCACAGTTATGCTCGATCAGCCGCTAAGTATACCTTCTCGAATTCCGACGCCTATTCGGGGTGACTCACACTGGGAGAACTCTTCTGATTTCGTGGAAATCAAAAATTGTGTACCACAAGGCTCAGTTTTGGGGCCACTCTTGTTTATTATGTATATAAACGAGCTACCAATTTATATAGAACCAAACAGATGTATTCTATTTGCCGATGATGCGACGATTTGTAACTCAAACTAGAATCATACTGACTTTCAGGAAATCTCGAACAATGCCGAAGAATGGTTTATACCGAATATACTGAAACTATATTCCAATAACACAAAAAAATAATTTTCTCGTCGGACCCGAAGGTTAGCAGAGGATCTTCTGTAAATATATTGGGGATAATAACCATTGATGACTCACTCAAATGGGGTCCTCACATTGAGAAATTATGCAAAAAATTGTCCTATCAATTATTCCTGATCGTCAACTTAAGAAGATTTTGAATAAACAAGTATTGTTAACGTTTTACTTTTCACTCTTTCATGCCCATCTCAACTATATGGTACGTTGCTTTGGGGGAACTCAACTAAATCAGTGAAAGCATATATTCTACAAAAAAAGGCAATTAGAACCTTAGCTAACCTGAGGTACAACCAGCCATATTTCAAACTCTTCCGAATAATGCCACTCCCGTGCTTGTATATTTTCAGCTCTCTACTTGAAATTTCCTGAAATTATTTAATTGGTTATGTGGTGAAGTTGTGACTGTAAGTTCTTTCACCCCTCCTGATCGATAGATATTTATTATGAAAGTTACACCACAAGGTGGAGTTTGTGGATATGATTAAAAATATTCGCTACTTGGACTTCGTCTTCTTTCACCGTACCCTTTGATCATTAAAATTTCAATACGCTCAGTATCAGTTGAAAGTTCCATTTTCGCGAGAAAATTATTTACACTAAATGTGTTTTTGACATGTGCTGTCAAGATCATCACTGTTGAACAAAACAACGACGCCGCGTTGGTATGGAGCTGGAAACTTTCAAAAGTCACTTGATGGACTACAACAGAGATAATAGACCGTTTCCATACATATCAGCGACCCTGTATATCATCTAATTCTCGATTTTTTGCGATATACCTATCTCAGTTGTTTTTGAGTTTTTAGAAAATAGATAGTTGTGGTCGTGGTTCGCATAACTGCCCTTTGTTTCGAGATGAAAAATATCGCAAACTGAACTTTTACAACCCTCCATTTCAATATGCAGGGCGGAATTGAAGTCCTAATTACTTTCTTATACTATCTATCCTAACTATCTTACCATGGCATATCTATACTTCTTTACTAATATTATAAAAAGGGAAGATTTGATTGTTTGTATTGAATAGGCTCCGAAAGTACTGAACCGATTTGTAAAATTCTGGTACCATTAGAGGCCGACATTATTCCTGATGAACATAGGCTTCTTTTTACCGCGGTAAAATGTTTCATTCTTACGTTTGAACGGGTAACAGAACAACGGGTAGTAAGAATAATTATCCTGCCGTATTCATCTTTTTCAAGTTACTTAAACGGCTGATCCGAATAGGTTGAAACTTCATATAGGTATTTCGATGTTTTCCTGGGTGATTTGAAAATACATTTGAACGCGGTAGGTGGCGCTGCTGTCAGTACGTCAATTACTAAACCGCTTGACCGATAGAGTTGAAATTTTTATTACGTAAAACAAAACAACAAAAAAATACAAAAGATACTGAGAGAATGAGAATGAGTGCAAGTATATAATAGAAACTTTTGGTAAGCACAATAAATAAAACAAAAAATTAAATATATGTACTGTAGATACGCGCATAGCTCAGTCAGGAGTCAAAAATGTTTTTCAAATGATAGTATGTATATACGTCTTCTGTATCAGTTTGATTTAGATTTTCTCAAGCCTCTCGAAAACAGTGGACATTTATTTTAATCTTGAAAGTGGCAGTTTTTCAAGGAATCCAATGCGTATTGCATTAATCATTGTTGGTGATAATTCGAAAAGTGTAGCTATAATGAATGTACGAATATATTAGAAAAGTAGCGGCCCCCAAACTGATCCTCGTGGTACACCCATATTCACTTTTCAGAAATTGATCAAATACGAATTTTTCGTTGAATTATA